TTTTAGTTCTGTACTTCAGAATTTTCTTTTAGAAGAATTGTTTAATTTATCTGCATTATAAAAAATTTCTTTATTTATTCTGTAACATTATTTGCAGGTATTTTAGCAAAATACAAAACATTAAGGCCATATGGATAGATTGTATTAAAACTCCTAATAAAGAGTGATTTTTCCCACCATAATCTGTGAGCTTAGTAATTGGAGAAATTTTAATGATAGACTGTTCAACATTTTTGAAATCACATGCATATGAAAGTGTCTAAGTTCAATTTTATTAGAATTAATGGAATTATTATTAAAGAATTTAAAATCATGTGTGTGTGTATCTATGCCTGGTCAAATCCTTAAGTTAAGTAGTATTGGAGGTCTGTCCAATATATTTATAAAGACATACTTACAATTGAAAAAGATAAATACAATTAAAGGTTTTTACAAGGTTAGAATCACAATCATATTGATCCATATTTAACATAGTACATGTCTTACATCTACTATTCTACATTTATTGAATTTTAATTTAAGACTATTATAAGATTTGAGTTTTATCAAATTATAAGAAGATAAATTATCAATAATTCCATGTATAGTGACTCTAGTGTAACATTTATTAATATTTTGAGAAATGTGATTACTTTCTAGAATCTAACAAGTTTTGTTTATAATGCATATGATGGCCATTAATGAATTTTTTGTTCCAAAAATTCTAGTCTTGAATAGTTTAATATTAGAATTACTATTATGATTATATAATTCTTTAACAGAACTCAGATCCTTTCCAAAATTGTTATTGGAGAAAGAGAGAGAGTTATGAAATTCCCTCATCCCAATAACTAACAAGACAAAATAGATAAATTTCTGTAAAATACAGAAGTAGATACCCAGTCAAAAGAGAGTGTACCAAAGCAAAACAGAACAAGTTAATTTATAAAAAAACAAACTTGAAAGTAAGCTCATAAAAGTCCAAATAAATAGAGATTTCTGTAATTAATTCAGAAATTGATACCAAGTCAAAAGTGAGTGTGCAAAAGCAAAGCAGAAACAAGTTAATTTTAAAAAAACAAACTTGAAAATAAGCTCTTAAAAATAAGAGAAAGCTATGCTCAAAACTAACACCAAAGCCAAGATAAGGCTCAAAAGACAGCCATCCACCACACAAAAAAACAACAGAAGAATACAAAATAGGTAAGGTTATAACGATGCTGTACTACCTAATCAGTACACCACCGAGCAAAGATCAGCTATAAACTAACCTAATTGCCAGTCGCTAATATAAATTGTACCAAAAATCATAAAGTAGACAAATGTTAAGGAAATATATATATATATATATATATATATATATATATATCAAAATATATAAATACATAGATAGTTATAGAACATAAAGAGAACTATACTAAATAGGAAGAAATAGGCACAGTAGTACAATAACAAACTCCTGGCCTTAAGAACCAGGATTGCAGGTTTAAACAAGTTTTAGGGCTAGCCAACCTTCACCTGAAGTTTGTCATACTACTTACCAAGAAGAAAGGAAAAAATAACATTAGGAGGAATTTAAAAATATTATAAATAAACTCACTAAACTAATAAAATATAATTATAAAATTATAGCCTACTAGTATTCACAGTATAGATTTAAATTCGATGCAAAACGATAAGACTTACTTCGGAGTGTAAACTGGTTATGTTTCCGCAATACAAGAGAAGGAAAATAGTTCTTGCTTAAGTTAAATTAAGATGTAAAAATACTAAAGTTTATATAGATACATGCACTTTAAAAATCATAAATATATATTGATATAAATATTAGTGGAAAATATAAATGAATCCTAGAAATATTTAAATAATATTATTAATTTACTAAACATGTGGTGCCATCTATTGAATAATTGTATAATTAGTTAAAAATATCAGTAAAAAAAAATAATGTCAGTAAGTTATTAATACAAATTGTATATGATTGAGAACTATTAGAAATATAATTGTAAAGAAAGTTAGCAGGGATATCCATGTTCAATACATTGTTTAATAAAGTTATTAATATTTAAATAAGTATTAGCTTTATCACTAACCAAAACATTATTACGATAAATATAGTTAAAAATAATATTTCTATATATAGATATTGATAAATTTGAATTTCAGTAAGGCACTTTAAGAATGTTAAAATTAAAGGCATCTTTTTTATCATAAATATTACTATGTAATTTCAAATCCTTAAATATAACAATGTTACATCTAAGTAATTAGTTTTAATTGGATTATTATTAACTTTAACTAAGTTTAAGTAAGTCGGATAAAAATTAATATCGGGATTTAAATTATCATTTTTACCAAAGAATAATTAAATTATCAATATATCTAAAAATGCAATAGTCATTATTAATAATATAATTACATTCATAAAAGTGTAAATATAAATTAGCCAAACTATTGCTTGCTGGGCCTCCTTGTGGCAGACCTTTATTTTTGTTTATATAATGAACCATTAAAATTAATGTAATTTTCTTTAAAGACAAAATCCTATGAGAGTTTTTTAAATTGGTTAAAATTAATATAGATTATAAATACTGTGGTTTTCTTAAAATTACTTTTAATAATATCATTGATATCAATGGAATTGAAAAGATCTTCACTGAATAAATGTTCTTAGTTTTTAAAAAATCTATAATATCTTTACTATTTTTTAATTATAGCTTTATTACATTGCTGATTAATAAAGTTTTGAATAATATTATGAAGTAATTTGCTTCCATTTTTTAATTCATTTTTTGTACTATATGATTATAGCCATTTACGATCTGAAACACTACAACTTTCTTAAATGACTGTTGAAGTTGTTCTTGTTACAATAGTCGTTGCAATTCGAGTAAGTGTTAAATTGAAATTGTTTTTCCAATAACTCATACGATGGCTTATTATCGCAAATTAAAGAGATGAAGATCGATAAGATTTGCCTTTTTTCAAATATAATGATTATAAGATTAGAAGAAATAAATTGTATATTTTTTATAGTAATGACTCTTTAATGAAGAAGTCACTTGAGGTGCTGAAAGTATTGCAAATTGTTTAAGTTTCAGATAATATACTAAAAGTCTTATTAAGTAGATTCAGATATTACACAATTAAATATATAATGCTTCACTGAAGAAAATTCTCCACGTTTTTCTTTAATTTGAATGTTTATGGTGTAGTCGTGCCAAATGAATAAGAAAGCTTGATTTACTCCTTATTATTTTGGCGTAAGTAACTTATTAAACAAAAATACAGTACATGTAACATGAACATGTTAGTATATATATCTATAAAAAATGATCATCAAAAGTTGGAGTTGCCCGATTGTACGAAATAATGAAATTTTTGTATGCAGAGACATTTGTACCAAACATGCAAATGATTAAAAACAGGCACCAATGAAAATGAATTCTCAGTGGAGCTACAGCGCATCGAAATCGCACACCACGCGCTAATAAGAAGTGATTTCAATCGGATGCATTGCGATTTGTAGATACCTTCAACGACTGAAAAAATGCGTCGCCGCAGATTCGAGCTCATTACGAGCAACTGTCAAAGTTTGAAAGAGATCGTATCATTTGGATTGAAAGAGGCAGTTGCTAGTCTGGAGAATCGCTCGTATGGGTCGAAGCGATGCGGATATTAGAAGATGCTGGCAAGAATGGGTGGACAGTGGCAGATTTCCAGCTTTTGATGAATGGTAGCGGCCGACCGTAAATGCCGTTAGCATACGCCCCGAGAGGATAGATTCGATTGGTCAGATCAGCCAGTCACAGCGCCTGATCTATCGTTATCAACCACCACACGTGCGACCGTACACGAGTGTCTTCCACGACCACCACAGACAAACCGATAAAGCTGCTGAAATTACGCCTTCGTACCGACCACTATGCCACCCGTCACCACGCTGCACACTGCCGAGCCAGATTACAGTGCGGTGTTTGGCTCGATCCGGTTGGAATCATATGAGTGGTGACGTATAGTGTCGACGAATCCCGCCTACCAACGTGCCCCGACGATCATAGAAGACATGTTCGAGGAGTCCAGACAGCGTGCCGATCCCGCTTAAATACATTAGTGTGCCAAACAGGCCTTCAACCAGGAATTATGTGGTATGGAGTGCCAATTCTTTCAATAACCAGACGCCTGTAATGGTCATTAGAGGCACACTTACAGCACAGTGGTACGCCGACGACATTCTGAGAACTGTTTTGCTACCATTTCTTTTGCAGTACCCTGGCCTTATTTTTCAGCAAGATAATGCCAAACCATATGAGGCAGGTGTTGCTATGAACTATGTTATAGTTGTCAAACACTTCCCTGGCCAGCCAGATCTCTTCAATCGGGCATGTCTGGCATATGATAAGAAGGCAACTGCATCTACCAGGGAATGTTGACGACCTGGCCCGACAATTGGAGCAAATTTGGCAAGAAGTACCACAGAAAAACATCAGGGTGCTTTATCACTCTATGTCACGTCGTGTGGCAGCTTGCATCGAGACTAGAGGTGGGTCAACACGTTATTGAGTTCGTTACTTACTAACTATGTAACTCTGAAATAAATCATTCAATTTTTCTAAATTTTAATCATTTTCTTTTCTGTACATAATCTTTCTATCCACCAATTTTTGTCTCTTTTGGACAACTCGTTCTTTGTGCGTCTTTTTTTTGTTACAGAGTATATAAGACTTGGACGAACAGTTTCCATCGCGTTTTCCAAAAGTCACTTAAGTCTTCCGAAACAATCTAGTTTTTACCCAAGATGCTGCCAATCGGGTATTTATAACTTCTAATTAACTCAGAAGGGCTCAGGACCATTTCAGATTAATGTAATGAGAATTACATATAGAAAATGTTTTTTATTTTTAATTGGAGTAAAACGAATTTTAGGACACTACACGATATAAGAACAGTCTGATCGATTAACTTATTATTTTTTAGATAAGAATTGAGGTTAAGAATTTTCCATAAAAAATAGAGGCACTGTTCAGGAGTAGGATTCGAACCTACGAACACATGAGTGCACCAGATGTCATCAATTCTTATGGAACAGTTTTTATCTCTTCACAGAGCAATTAAATTATCCATACAATTGATAATTTAATGGACGTAAACAGCTTAACTACTTAAGAATTCTAGAATGAATCTTATTTCTGGAGAGCATTTTTTTTTTGCATTAACAATTTTCTTTCTTTTCTTGTATGAAGACAACACCCTTCTACTCGATTGAGAGAGATTCAACTGCTCCATAAGATACTGAGGTCTGATGCCATAACCACTCGGCCATCCTGAACTCGATGTTGCACGTTTATTTGTATGATCTAATTTTGTTTTGCCTTTTTCAAAACTCCATGTCAGATGTTCAGGATTCCGCAGATTGATTGATTGAATATTAACGTCATACTGTTCAGCTGCACGTGGGCTTTTGGTGACGGACCACGTAATTTTGAACCATGGTCAAGTGACGTGGACGACACCTGAGCTGGCACCCGTCTCCTAAATACCACACCACACCAACGGGATTACGTCTCAGCTCTCGACAGATTTAACGTGCATCGCTGCCCTACACGGCGGGTCTTTAGTGGTACTGGGCTCGAACTCGTGACAAGGCAAGCCACGATCCGATACCTATACCACTCGGCTACCGCGGCCCAGGATCCCGCAGAAGTCTAAGATTTATTGAACGGACAAACCTTTTTAATGTTTTAATTATAAAAAAATTAGCAGTTATAGTCAATTACTTTGGGGTTGTATTAGTGTTATACTAGAACAACACATAGCCAGTTATTCAGTAATGAATCTTAATATTTTTTTAATCATGGATCTGGTGACTAGGATGACACCTAAAGTAGTGCTTCTTTGAATTTTATAATTTCTTGTATTTTAATATGCTGTGTTAAATTACAAATATCACATAAAACAGTGTTTTGAAATTCTGCGTATGAAAAATAATGAAACGAAACTTTAAAAAAGGAAATGAAAGTGTACCTATTAAATTGAGCTTTCATACAATTGGTTAATAAAAATAATTCAATGAAAGCAAAAAATAGTCTAATTTATAGTTAATTCAAGATAAAGGAAGAATTTAAAAATTAGATGTTGGAAATTAAACTTAGAGGATAAGAGAGAGAGAAAAAAAGACGTAATGCTACCTTTTTATTTAGATTTCACATTAAGAGGATGCATTGATTCTGTAGGTATTAACATATAAATGAAATCTTTTAAATGAAAGAAAAGTGACATTAAAAAACAAAATTTTGTTAAGAAAAGGACTCTTTAACAGATGTTTTAATTAGATACATGATATAGGAAGAGAATCTCTTAAAGTAAGCTTCATAAGTGTGCTAATTGTAAAACATTTATTGATCAAGTAACAAATACTGAACAATCGTTCACAATATAAACGGAAACACATAAATAATTTGCATTTGTAACTCCTTTCATTACTATACACACACACTACACACACATATCATATGTATATACATATATATATATATATATATATATATATATATATATATACATATATATATAATCCAATATAAAAGAATTTTTTTCAATATGCTAATCTTATGCATAATACATACACATATATATAAATTTATACATATATATATATACATATACACAAGTACATAAACAAAAAATATAAAAATAGACATATAGTTATATACCTAAGATAACCAAAAAGTAGGAAGGAGGCACATAGCATAAAAGACAAATTCCTGGCCTTAGGAACCAGGATCGCAGGTTTGAACAAGCTTTGCAGCGCCAACCTTCACCTCGTACTCTGTCATACCATGTACCAAGAGGAAAGGAAAGAGTTATATATGTAGAATTTAAAAATTAAAAAATCATTAAACTAAATAACATATGAACATAAACACAACCTACTAAATCGAGAGTTAAATCGTTGGCCAAGAGTGCAGTAACGAGTTCCCGCCAAATAAGGAGAGAAGAACCGCATAAAGTTAATTGCAATACGATATAAGAAACGATTAATTGCGATACGATATACGATAATAATAATAATAATGATAATAATAAATATATATATATATACTTTTAAAAATATCATAAAAATAAAAATCATATAAAATTAGCGTAAAATATAAAAAAAACTCAAAAAGAATTATATATATATTAAAAATTTTTTGAAAGTAAGCATGTGGCGTAACCATCTCTATAATAATGTTGTAGGATAAATTGATATTGTCTAGGTTTAAAAACAAATACAAGACATAATAACAGTAATAATGTACATTAGTGACAAATTAGTTGCAGACAAGAAGCCATTATAGGAAATATAATTACGAAGAAAGTTCAGCAGGGGGTATCATGTTCAATACAGTGATTAAGAAATTTTTGTGACTTAAAAAAATATTAGCTTTATCAGCTAACTAATGCCCATTATTGCGATAAATATGGTTAAAAATAATATTTCCTATATATAGATATTGATAAATTAGAATTCCAGTAAGAGGCACTTTGATGATGTATTGAGAATTAAGGGAAAAAACAATCCCTCTGTTTATCATAAATATTGCTATGTAGTTTCAAATCCTTAATATATAGTGTTTAAAAACAACCTGGGTAATTTGTTTTGATTGGATTATTATTAATTTGACTAAGTTTAAGTAGGACGGATAAAAATTAATAATAGGATTTAAATTATCATTTTTACCAAAAATAATTAAATCATCAATATATACTAAAAATGTAGTAGTCCTTATTAATAACATAATTATATATTCATAAAAATGTAAATAAAGATTAGCCAAACTATTACTAGGGGGCCCCCTTGTGGGAGTCCTTTCTCTTGTTTATATAAAGAACCATTA